TGGTTTGTTCCCTTTGCAGCTGTGGACCCAGACCCTGAGTGTCCAGCTGGGCATCTCTGGCTCTGAAAAGGGGCTTGGAGCAGCCTGCAGGGACAGGGTTGTTTTACCAGACAGAGAAGACACAACTGGAGGTGCAGCAGCAGTGCCACGGTGCCTTCTTGTAACCTGCTGGGCCAAGATGCCTCCAGCCACAGGTTGGTATCTGAGTGGCCTTTCCTACTCCTTTTCTCTTCTGATTTCCTCTCCCTAACCTCAGCCTTTGTTTTCTGCTCGCTGCTCCCCTTGGCTGTGTGTTCTGGCAGCTCCCATGGGATGTTGGATAGAGCACAGAGCAGATCCCCCTGCATCACCATGGGCTGGGGGGCTCAGCAGTGACACCAGCACAGGCAGATGTCTCCTCCCAGGCCTGTGCTGTCACCTGTGAACGTGATGACCAGAAAGCATCTCAGGCCTCTTTGGACCCCAGACCACAGGCAGGTGCTCCTGGGAGTGTCCAAAGGGACTGCAGGCCACAGCAACCTCTTCCACAAAAATCATTGCTTTGGAAAGTGTTATAAAATTAAATATGTAAAGAATGCAAAGGTTGAAAACTAAAAGGTTGAAAAAAATCCAAGAATTATCTGTTTGGTAAGCCAGAGGGCTAATGGCTGGAAAGTCAACATGGTTTATTGAGAGTTTGACATTACAGGAAAAATTTTAAGGCGATGAGCAATTTTCTACTCAGTCCAGAAATTCTGAGTAAGAGTAATTCTCTGGTCAGTCCTGTGGGGATCTGTGGGTTGGTGCCAACATGATGGGTATAGATGATAGGATGAGTTTCTGTATCAGCTGCAGGTTCTGGAGATGGCCCAAGAGACCAGTCCATAAGCCTGCTCCCATGTCGCCATCACCTCCAAAACAGACCTTCCCTGACCTTCCCTGTGACAGTGGTGAGGCAGTGGCAGAGAGAAGCTGTGGCTGTTCCATCCCTGGAAGTGTTCCAGGTCACACTGGACAGGGCTTGGAGCAACCTGGGATCGTGGAAGGTGTCCCTGCCCATGGCAGGGGGATGGAACTGGATGATCTTTAATGTCTTTTCCAACCCAAACCGTTCTATAATACCACAATCTCCTTTTGTCTCCATCTCCTTCTCCCTTTTCCTTCTTCGATATTATTTTTAACCTTCTGCTCAAGAAGGAGTAGGCTGATTCTGCATTTTCCACAGCACTGTTCCAAGGCAGTGACAAAAAAGTCCCAAACCTGCTTAAAATGTCTGTGATTTGTCTGGTACCACTTGGCACAGCCAGAGCTGCTGGTGGGGATGGGAGGTGCTCTGGTGCTGGCTCTCAGGAGCTGAGAAGATGCCAGCCAGGCTCAGCACCAGACACAAACTACACTTTCTGCCTTTGCTGCTCACAAAGAGGAGTTCCAGGAGCTGGACTTCAGTGGTCCTTGTGAGTCCCTCCCAAATGAGGATATTCTAGGATTAAAAACATTTTTCATATTTTCTAATTATTCCCCACACTTCCAGGGCTGGCTAGTGGCAGCAGGTTCAGGTCCTCAGCTCTTCAGAAAAATCCCTTCTTTCTTTTGGTGTAACTGCTTATTTATCCTTCCTTCAGAAAAGTGGCTCAGCTTTTCTACTATTTTCTATAACTTCAACAAAATTTTAAAAATATGTTTGACTCTCTTTGGGGGTCATAGACTGACAAAATACTGTTTCCTGGGCACAGCTTTCTATGAGTGAGTAAAATCAGTACAAACCATCATGTTTCTGTTTTATCTGCACTCTTAGTAAGCACAAATTTGTGTATCATGGTCGAGGTTCCCAGTTCTGGTAAATGGATAGAGATGATTTATCTCCTCTCTAACTTGACCCCATCATTTTTCGGGGTGGCTTTTTATTTCAGACTTCTGAAATTTGTGTTCTTGGCCTCGTTACAGCTGAATCTGCAGCACCTTTTACAAGCATCTGGTTTCTATCCAGATTGCTTTGATAAGTGGCAATGATGAGCGTGATTATCTGCAAAAAGCCAATCTCAAACTTCCCTTTCTGCTGGGTTTTACTCACAGGTTGATGATTTGCACAGGTTGCTCAGGTTTTGCAGACTGACATGAAACTGAGATGGGGACCAGTGCAGGACTGGAAACTTTTATGTTGAAGAGGGTTTTGCAGCAATTCCACCCCCCTCCCTTCAATGACAATATCATTTAAAAGCACCAAATTAGCAGAAATTTGCACTGAAACTCTTGAAAACAAGGAGAAACAATCTTTACCTGTAGAACCTCAAGCTGTGCATGGGTGAAAGAGGATCTCTACTCTCTTTGGTCTCTCATTGTGATCATTATTGACTGTAGAAGAACAAGGACACTGATGAGGTCACCCTTGCCAGGATGCATTGGTTTGGGATTATTCTGCACCTTTCCAACTGAACACACCAAGGAAGGAAATCAGTGAAGGAAAATCTCTTGGCTCATGGTGCCAGGAGTTAGGAGAGAACTTGAAGTAGGAAAGAAAACAGTCCTCTGGCCCTATGAATCCAGCTTATTAATTAACCTATTAAATACTTCTGCAGGGGCAGGTAGAACACCCAAGCAGCCTGTAGCTGTGAGCACAGAGTTGTCCAAATAAATAAAAAGTGGTTCTGTCCTAAGGCTCAGATTTAGCTGGGCTGGTAAATGGTTCAACAAAAATCATGCTGGTGAAAGGGAGACTGGTGTATCTTCACTAAGGCCAGGTTGGATGGGGCTTGGAGCAACCTGGAGTAGTGGAAGGTATCCCTGCCCATGGGAGGGGGGTTGGAACTAAATTACCTTTAAGGTCCTTCCGACCCAAACCATTCCATGATGATGATGCTGGTCTGTGAAGTCTGTCAGCAGAAAGCTGTTGGCTTTTCAATGCTCCAGCTGTGTCATCTCTTTCTGACCTGGTTCTGAGTTTTTCCACCTCAGCATAGCTCTCTCACCATTTTCCAGTCCCCACTACACATGTGCCAACCCCAGCTAGTGGTGCACAACTTCCAGAGAATAAAGGGTTGGACTTTCTGTGATTTTAACTGTTAGAAGTTACTTGGGTTAATTGCAGACAATTTGACAAAACTCATCCTAGGAGTGGTAAGATATTAAGAGATTGTCTAAACGACAAGGAAGTCAGCCCTGTTTCAATCTCCCTGGACTGATATTTACATGAATCTTTGAAAACCTTGAAGGATGAGTGTTCCTTGATGTTTTTCAGTTTAGGGTATTTTTTAGCTTTTTATTTTTTTTTTTAAATCCATTCATGTTTAATACCTGTGGGACAGTCAGCTGGGTTAAACTTCAGGACCTGCAGGAGACATTAAGGAAGAATAACTGGAGGTAAGGTCAGAAAGTGCTAAGTTAGGACCATACACAGTTCTAGATTGCTATTAGGCAAAGTTAGATCAATGTTTGAAGGTAACTAAAGGTGTGGCCAGGAGTTCATTGTTGTGATTGGAGGCACTGTGGTCAGCCTGGGTTCATCAGTGTTTCCTTGGTCCAGTGTTTATCTGCCAGGTCAGGCAATGGTGTGGCTGTGCTGTGGGTTTAGGTTACAGGCTGACCCACCTGGAGCAGGTTAGGGAGGGTTTGGGCTCACTGGAACAGCTGGAGGGAGTAATCCCAAGTAGCAAAATTTGGGATGATCACAGCTGGATTTGGAGAAGATGCTTTCACCTGAGAGTACCTTCCCTCTCGTTAGAGACTCTCAGCCCTGAGCTCTGTGTCTCTCCAAGCTCTGTATCTGCTGCTGCATTTGCCAGTGGCACCTTGCCAGTGCCTCAGCAGGGCCACACCTCCTGAGACAGCAGCAAACAAAGCATCCACATCTTCAGCAGCCAGCCTTGCCCTCTGAAACATGGAACATGTTCCCTGGAGCACTTTTAACCCAAGTGTGCTTTAAACAAACCCACCTGCTGTGCCAGACACCACCCACGCAAGCCCCATCCGACCACAGCTGAAGTGCTGCGTCAGGGTGCTCCACATCTCAGGTGCTGAATTGGAAGGTCACGGGCACAGAGAAAATCACAACTGCAACCAGCCAGATGTGCTAAATTGCTTCAGTCACCCACCTGACTCTCGTGAGCTTCCCTGGAGTGCCCAGGTGGTGTCTTCAGCTCTGGGCTGAAATGAGTTGGGCTGAGATTCACAGATAATGTTGGAGTGAAGTTAAAACTCAGCAGTGGAAATGCACTCACTGTTTTAGGAGAGGGAGTTTCTTTACCCCCAAAGAAGTATTCAAAGTGTTGTGTTGAACCCATCTCTTTCAAATCCTTTTCCAATCTGATAATTAAGTGGAAAACTGGATAATTACCCAGTATAATTTTTTTTTGCTTGTCTGTTTTTAATGTGAGTCTCTTTGATGCCTACTTTATAAATAATTTTCCTCCAGGTATCTTAACTTCTCTATTGGTAAAATGGTGTTTTTCCCCATTTTTTTTTTTCCATGGGCTTTACATTCTACTGCTGCAGAGGTAGATGTTATCAGGAGAATTTGGGGCTTTAGCATCATGTAAGTCTCTTTTATGATCATGATTGAATGATTTCTTGCCTTAGCAGGAACACTTCTTTAGAAAGAAAGAAGAATACCAAAGAATTTTTTCACTGACTTTTTTATTACACAAAGATAAATTAACATTACCTTAATACTTAAAAATATATATATATTAGGATTATACATTATTATCATGTTTTCCACCAGCATAAATAGATTTACATAAATAGACATTTCAAAGTGTAAACTAAGGATGGGTAAAATTCCCATTACTTTTCAACCAGGCACATGCAGCTGTCTGGATTCTGAATTTTTGGAGTTCAAGATCTTGGGGGAAAACATTAAGGTTTTTTAACCTAGACACCTGATTTTCAGTATATTCTGAAATATATATTCTGATGTATTCTTGACAAATGTTAGGGCTTGATTCAGCTTTTTTGGAGGCTGGATCAGGCCCCTTCCATGCAAGGAAGTTCTCTGTGGCTCCTTGCTCCTGCAGCTCCGGCTCCCTTCAGGCCTGGTGCTGGACCAAGGGGGTGACACACGTGCAGCCCACCGTGATGGTTTTCTTCTCCAGCCTGTAGGATTGCTGGCAGCCCCTCTGCTCCCTGCGCAGGACCAGGATCTCCTGCCTGATGGGGACGGAGTTGAGGCTGTGGTCCAGCTGCCCCTCGGGGTTCACGCACCGGGAGTGGCGGCACTCGGCGTCCGCGATCAGCCGCGGGAAGCGGTCGTGGTCCTCGTCGATCCTGGGGGTTGGCAGGGAAGGGAGTGTTTGAATGCACAGGCATGATGGTCTGGAAGACTATGGTTTCCCTGCTTGGGAACCTGTGCATCTTGGGGTGTATTGCCCATGGAGGGACAGCAGATTCCCCAAAAGAGTAGGTTTTTCCGAAATAAAATGGAATTCACTAAATATTGGATATTTTTAAATGGATGCCTGCATGCAACTGCCTTTGCAAAGGACTTGCTTCAAGCAGGCACTGACTTTGATCAGAAATGATTTGAGCTCCCCAACATGTCACTCCAACTAACAGACCCCAAAACCTTCAGTTCCTCCCCAAAACATGACACATTGGTGTTGAACCACCACTGAATTTGGTGCAATATTAACCCTCTGACGTATTTTTTTTATGATGTTTTAGGTAAAGAATGCTTTTGAAGATAAAGCTTGCCCTAGTATAAAAATTAATTAATTAAATTATAAAAGCCATTTGCTTTGCCTTCTGCATATTGCCTAGGCCACGTGTTTCTTTTGTGCTGCTTTCTGCACTGGTTCTCTTTCAAAGAGAAAGGTCATAGGGACTGTGGATACCCTCATATTTCCAAAATCTCTCAGCTGTGAAGCACTGAAAATAGAGATTGAAGAATTTTTCTTGGCTAGGTGCACCCAGAGTTTTTCCAGGCCATAGGGCCAGGGATCATACCTGTAATCCCATGGAGCCAGAGAGCGGCTGCTGATGTCCAGGCTGGCTTTGGTGTCCTGGTTCGTGTTGCTGATGCTGAGGTTGACTCTCACAGTTTGGGGGAAATTTGAGTCTTTTTGGGTCGGGCAACCAGCAGATGCTTGCTTGAAGAGATTCTCTGGCTTGAGCCCAGGCTTGATCACCTTCCCATGGGCAGGACTGCTGGCTGACAGCACGGCCAGCAGCACGAGGAGCAGGGGTCTGAGCTGGAGAGATTTGTACATTTAGGATACAAGACAGGTGTGAAATTCATCCATAGTCAGCCTCACTGGTGGTTAAAACCCCTCCTTCAGGCTGGAGTAATTATGGAAAAATATGCTGTGTGTCACATCCACTTTTGTTCCCATTAACTGATTCTCGCAGTGCTGACAGTTATGTATACACACAGCTGTAATCTGGTTGTAATGTTAAATTATAGAAAATAATATAATGCAGAAGATAGTAGAAAGGGTATAATAAAAAGAAAGACACTCTAAAGTTGAATTTTGAATGTATTTCTTGCCTCAGAGAACGCTGTGGGAGCCCATGTCGCTGATGTACAGTCTCATTGCTGCCCCACAAGCATTTTCACGTTTTAGTTATTTTTAATTGTTAATGATTTAAAGTAGCATTTTAAAGGTGAGTGCAGATTCCTATTCCATCTATTATAATATAAATATGTCTCTGTCAAACTGGGGAAAAATAAACTCAGAATTCAAGTTCTTACCAGAGAAGTGCAAAAAGTTGGAGACATCTTCCTTCCTTCTCTTACTTCTGATGCTTGTACTGGGCTCTGCTGAGGTGAAGGTGTCTGGGCACATCTGCTGCTGGACCTTTTATAAGGGTTTCTGTGCTGTGCTAAATAATTTGGAGTAGGTGTTTTTCCCCCCAACCTTAACTGTGGTTTCTGACCATAACCTAAATTAAGAAGTGTATGTGTATAGGTTCCATTAACACAGGTGGAATACAGGATATATCTTAGATGATGTCATTCCTTGAGCCATGTCACTCAATGGTGACAAAGCCACAAATGTTGCAAGTTTGTGGGTGCCAGCTATTCAGTTTTAAATTGGGATGCCATAGGTATCAGACCCAAATGTCGCTGGCACAGGTTTGGATCTGTTCCCTCCTTGGTCAGTCTGATGTCTTTTCACCCCAGATTTAGGCAGATGTTGGACAGCTGACCACTACCAAATTGCTCTCATATTCTTCCCATGGGCTGTAATTTTTCCTGATGTCTGAGGAGCAATGTCCCTGCTCCAGCTCAGTTCTTCTCTGAGCTGGGCTATTTTTACTCATGGTTAAACCTCAGGTGTGATATCTCAGTGATGATCAGAATGCTTGGTGATAGTGAGCTGCCAAAAGTCAGTCACTGTCCACAGAGATAAGAAAAAAAGAGTGAGCTTTGTTTTGAGCTTGCCACCTTTTCATTTTGCTTTAATTTTCCTTCTCTTGTGCTGTGAGGCAGTGTTTTATTTCTAAAGAAAGGAGTTTGGGAAGTGTGATGGATGTAGTTAAACTCCCAGCTCCTAAGTTAGGGAGAGGACAGAGGGGCTCCAGAGAAACTTTGGGAAGGCTAAGAGATGCAAAATGACACAAGATGCACATTACCCAGAGAAGCTGTGGCTGCTCCTGGATCCCTGGAAGTGTCCAAGGCCAGGTTGGACAGGGCTGGGAGCACCCTGGGATAGTGGAAGGTGTCCCTGCCCATGGCAGGGGGTGGAACTGGGTTATATTCAAGGTCCCTTCCCACCCAAACCATTCCATGACTCTAGGATTCTATAACATCAGGTCTATTCTCTGCTGTTTCTTTTTTTAGGAAATACTCCCATCATTTTGCTCTGACAGTGGGTTAGGAGTAGCCCAGATGTGCCCCATAAAGTGACGCTCAGTGTAACAGCCTCCAGCTGCTGATCAGAACTTTTCCCAGGTCTAATTTTAGTGGTTTTTTTTTAATAAAATGATGTGGAGAAGGTACAGAATTTTATATTTGCTTAGTATTTATACCTAAGTCCAAATTTTACTCACCTTGTGCCATCCAAAGGAGGATGCAAATAAGGGTAGAATTTAGTTTGCGGGTTCTGGGATACCCATGACCTACATCCGCTTGTTTTAAAAGATGCTGATGTTTCTGAAATTAAATATATACTTCAGTTTCCCTCTTCAAGTTAGAGGTGTACAGGTTAAAGGAAACAGTCTCCTCAGAAGGGGTTTTCTCTAATGCCTTTTACTGAAATATCCTTTCAAAGTGGGTCATTTAAATTGCCAATTTTAGAAGCAAAATACGTTTTTGAAAGTCTACAAGGCAGCGGAAGGTCAGGTTCAACCAGCCTGACCCTGAATTGTCTACCTTAAATGCGTCAGTGGTTTGGGTTACCTAGGTAGTTGGAAGGTGAATAGTTTAGCATTCGTATGTGGCTGATGCACCACAACATTGCAATGGCAAAAAAAAAAAAAAAAAAAAAAAAAATTTCCATGGTTTATATCAAGGCAGGAATGTATTTGTTGGCAGTTGTGAAGCAAGATGTGAAGGTCTGAGGAGAAAATGTGCCTCTTGAAATTTCTGATTTCTGATTTTCTGGGGTTTTTTCCAAGTTCCAAGTAATTATTTTGTAATTCTTAATGCTCTGAAGTGAAGAAAAAAAAAAAAAGAAGATTAATATGATTTTCCCCATGAGATTAGAAGTTCGCTCATAGGATCTGCCTTATTCTGGCACAAAGCTTTCTCTTAGCTAGAGATCTGGAAGCTGGGACTAAAAAAGGCTTACTGAAACAAAAACCAAAAGCAAACAAAAAAACTAAAAGTTATCAAAAGCCTTTTGAAATGAAACCTCCCCCTTCTCTTGGCTCTGGTGAGAGCTTTCTTGATTGTAAATTGCTATTTAATTACTTTACCTGGCTGACATTCTTCAGGTGCCCAAATCTGAATGTTGTTGGCATTTGATGACACTTCAAAGAGTATTTTAGAATCACAGCATGGCTCTGCAGACCCAGCAGCCCCCTCAAGGAGCCAGGTGTCACCAAACCCAGGAACTCACCCTGTGGCATCTCCTCCTCGGCGTCGCTGAAGTCGTACGGGTCGTAGGAGCCCTCCTCGCCTTCTGTGCGCGCCTTCTTCCGTCTGGAGGGGGAGGAGAGGTCACCCAAGGGTTTGGGTGGGAAAGGACCTTAAAGTCCATCCTGTTCCACCCCCTGCCATGGGCAGGGACACCTCCCACTATCCCAGGTTACTCCAAGCCCTGTCCAACCTGGCCTTGGACACTTCCAGGGATGGAGCAGCCACAGAAACCATCCAAGTGCTGGAGCTCCGGAGTCCTGACTGGACGTGCTGTAAATTAAAAGAGAACTTTATACATTTTTTTTTTAATTGCCATCAATTAATTTTATGATACCTCAGAAAAATAAGATTACTATTTATTTATTTATTTATTTATCTTTCTGGAGAGAATGTATTTTCTTCCTTTTGAGTGCATATTATAAATCCCTATAAATAGGGCAGGACACTCCCATCTTCATACAAGTACTGCATGACCCACTCTGCTTTGTGGAGATCATTTCTAGGGTTAGACTGAGCCTGAGTTCCGGGGTGACCTGTGAGGAGCTCAGAATTTGATGGAGCAAGGCTCTGAGCACTCTGATTAAACAGTGATGTTTAATTTTAGTTTAATTTAATTAAATCATGCTGTGAGTGGATGGTTGGGTCAGGCACATTCAGAGATGCTCTTCAAACTGGTTACATCCAGAGAAGGACCAGGAAAATGCTTGGAGGGCTGGAGCCCCTCTGCTCTGGAGCCAGGCTGGGAGAGCTCGGGGTGCTCAGTCCTGTGTTGGGTCTTGCTGAGCTGGAGCTCATTTTCCCACAGCAGCTCTCCCAGTGCTGGGCTTTGCACTGGGAGCTGGAAAGGTGGTGGGAACACCCTACTGTTCCTGCTGATCAGGGCTGGCACAGCGTCAGCTCTGTCCCTCCATTGCCCTCATCCAGGGGCTGGGAGTGGCTGGGATGCTGGGAGGGGACACAACCAGACAGCTTCCCCAAATTAGCCGAAGGGATATTCCATACCAGGGGTGTCAGCTCAGATAAAAGCTAGGAAAAGAAGGAAGGGGGTGCATTTGTTATTTACAATATTTGCCTTCCAGAGCAACTGCTCTGTGTGCTGAAGCCCTGCTTCTCAGGAAGTGGCCAGACATCACTCACTGATGAGAAGTAGAGGATAAAATTTTCTTCTTTTCATCTTTGTTTGTGCACAAACTTTTGTTTTTATTATTGTAAACTGCCTTATCTCAACCCAGGAGTTGTTTCCCATCTTATTTTCTCTCCCTTGTGCAGCTGGGAAGGGGGAATGATAGAGTGGCTTGGAGGGCACTTGGTGCCCAGTCAAGATCCTCCACCACAAGCCTGGAGAAGAGAAGGATCCAGGGAGAGTTCAGAGCCCCTTCCAGGGCCTAAAGGGGCTCCAGGAGAGCTGGAGAGGGACTGGGGACAAGGGATGGAGGGACAGGACACAGGGAATGGCTTCCACTGCCAGAGGGCAGGGATGGATGGGATATTGGGAAGGAATTGTTCCCTGGGAGGGTGGGGAGGCCCTGGCACAGGGTGTCCAGAGAAGCTGTGGCTGCCCCTGGATCCCTGGAAGTGTCCAAGGCCAGTCTGGATGGGGCTTGGAGCAGCCTGGGATGGTGGAAAGTGCCCCTGCCCTTTGTAGGGGGTGGATCTGGATGATCTCTAAAACTCCCTTCTAACCCAAACCATTCCATGATTCTATGAAGTCACTGCACCAATCTCCCACCCCTTGATTCTTACACAGGAGACACAGCAGAAAAGCTAATTATATAATTATAATTATATAACAATGAATAAGTAAAAAGCCTGTTGTTGTGGTTTTAAACCAGTAACTAAAAAATTACTTATTTCTTGCTGTGAGATATGGATTAGAACAAGAGCAAAACAGGCATAAAACTTAAAAGGAATAAAGAAAGTTTATTAAGAAAACTACAAGAATAAGAACACCAGAATAAACTTCCAGAAAACACTGTTTTTATCTTTTACTACCCACCATTCTCTTGTTCACATGACAAAAGAGACAAAAACTTTGGAACTTTGATGGTTAAAACAGTCCCAATTCTTGCTACAGTCTTTTCACCAGTCTTTGTAGAGAAACAGAAGTCTCTTTCTGTTAATTTATGGAGTTCTTCACAAGAAAACTACTTCTGTTATAGTTTTCTATTGCCCTGATGTTAGCTGCCCAGAACTGCTGTTATCAGAGCTCACTCCTCCCATTTCACATCACTCTGAGGTGTGTATGGGCCATGAGTCTAGGGATGGAATTTTAAGGATAAGTTATTCAAAGGCAAAAATCTTCTTCATCTGTTTCTGTGAGCTTCACTAGAAAACAGTTTTCTCATTGCCCCCCAAGGCTTCAAATCTTCTAGCACTTCACTGTATCACAATTACTCTACTTTTTACTCAAATCTACACTTTGAACACTCCATTCCTCCCTACATACTCTATCATGAATTAAAAGAGTTCTTTCAGGACTTTATTGTCCATCTCCATAGCTTTAACAGAAAAATACTTCATCTTAATTAAAGCATCTTCTTATTCTCTACCTTTTCTGAAGCTTCTTTTCTTCCTTGTCACTGGTAGTTTATAAAGTCTCTTTACATGTTGATTACTCCCTTTTTCTCTCTCTGGAAAAAAAGGATTAATCTGCAAGTCTCATCTGGGTAATGAAAGGATTAAAATCTTGCCCAGGCTTTTGTAGATGGTTCTGTGACCTCTGCCGGAGCAGCAGCTGGAGCTGTCTGCGATGGAAGATTCTTC